AGGGGCCTGGGCCTGGGGGAGAGGTCTGAGGGAGGGGCCTGGGCCTGGGGGAGGGGCCTGGGCCTGGGGGAGGGGCCTGGGCCTGGGGGAGGGGCCTGGGCCGGGCTTCCTCTGCACTTGTTTTTGCAGGAGGGCCTCACAGGGAAGGCCCTGCCCCCAAGAGCTGTACTGACATTACTCTGTTATGTAAAACACCAGGCGGTGTGGAGGGGATTTCTCGGGGTGAGGCTCCCACGGGTGGACCTGTGAGCCACCTGTGAGCCGTGACACATGAGACCTGCAGTCCCTGTAATCCTCATCGGAGGCCGGAGACCGGGGCGTGGTGGGGACACAGGCCCTTCCTGGTCTTCCAAGGGAGGTAGAATTTGCAGCACATACCCTCGCCCGTTGTGAACAACACAACGACATTGAGCTTATGGAGGACGCTGGTGGGGGGGGGGCAGCCATGTCCAGCCCTGACCCCCGCTCACAGGCTCTGCCCCTGTGGCCTGCCTATTCTGGACACTTCCGTGAGGTCTCTGCTGACTGGCTTTGGCCGCTCAGCATGGTGTCAGCAGCCGTCACCGACACTCTGGTACTGCCCAGCCTACGCGGTGTGTGTCCCCCTCCAGGGCAGGCACGTGGGAGGTTTTGCACAGGCTACACAGTGTGTGTCCCCCTCCAGCGACGTGTGTCCTCCGGGGGGGGGGCAAGTGGGAGGTTTTGCTGTTGGGGCTGCTGCTAACTGCTGGGCGTGCACATTCACAGGGATCGCGTGAGCTCCTGGTTTGGGTGCGTCTGTAGGAGATGAATCACTGGGCCGTCCTGTGACTGCTTAGCTCTGTGTGTGTGTGTGCGCGCACACACACACACACGCGTACCTATGTGTGCCAGGCCTGGGCCTGGGCCCTGTACCTGGGTGTTTGTGCTCAAGGTTAACTCTTTATCACTTGATCCATACGACTACAATTCTGGCTTTTTGGTGGTTAACCGGAGATAAAAGTCTCATAGAAATGCCCTGGCTGGCTTTAAGCTGTGATGTTCAGATCTCGGCCTCCTGAGTAGCTAGGATTCTAGGTGTGAGCCGCCGGCAGCCAGTTTAGCTCTTGAAGAGCTCCAGCCTTTTCTCAGCAGTGGCATCCTTCTGCCCTGGCCAACGCACAAGCACCTCAGGCCCTCCCAGGGGTCCTGCTCTCCCAGGGGGGCGGCCCAGCCCGCAGGGGCGTGCCACGGAGACACGCAGAGCAGCACGGCCTTGCATGACGCTCCAGGAAGAAAGATGGCGGGAGGAGCCACAGCGGCTTTCAGAGGCTCCAGAGGCCCCCTGTGAAAGGGTGCGGGGCTCCGGCCTGGGACAGTGGATTCTCAGCGCTTCCTGAACAACACGACTGCGTTTCTGTTCCACGCCGCTGCAAGTGGATCCGGTGCCCCCCCTCGAGAGCCTCTCCACAGCCCTCCGTGTGGGCGTCTGCTTACGCTGCTGCTGGAGACAGACAAGGAAGTCCTGCGGCCCCTGGGGGAGGGGGCCGGATCCTCCGCGGGCCTCGGTCCTGGCAGAGCGCATGGGGCTCCCTCCCGACCTGCAGCGCCGCTTCTGTGGCCCCAAAGCCTCAGCCTCCTCCGCAAAACGGCTCAGCAGAGCAGACCCGATGGCCACCATGCCGACTGGTGCTGTGTGTGTCTCAGCATCGGGGCTCTCCTGCCGCCACGGGGCCTGACACCTGCCTCCTCTCCTCCTCCATGCCTCCGGACATGCGCTGGACTTGGCGCCTGCCCCCCCCCCCTCCCCCCCTGCCCCCCCCCCCCGCCTCGCCCCAGCCCCGAACTCACGTGCCTGGCTGCTGCCCGTGAGATTCTGGCTCAGCAGCTCGTTCTCAATGCAGCAGCCGACGTCCACGCCCGGGGTGTGCGGGAGCGTGAGCACACTGACCACGTCATACAAGCCCCGGGTGTTCACGGAGACCGTGTGGTTCTGCAGGGCCTCGGGCAGCAGGCTGTTGTCCGTCTTGTTGATCCAGTACACTTTGGGCCTCGGGTAGCCGTTGGTGGACGTGCACGTGAAGGTGAGCTCCCAGGCCCCAGGGCCGCCGCCAGGGCTGCTCACCACCGGCATGCTGTAGTTTGCTGCAGGGGAGAGGAGGGGAGAGGGTCAGAGCGGCCAGGACGCGCGTCTCCGCTTCCCAGCAGGGAGCCAGCATCCCTGGGACAGCGACCATGCCATGGCGGCTTCTGAGCCCCACATCTGGACCTGCTCACGGGCAGGTGGCACCACTGCTTGTTTTCCTCTAAATTCTGTCTCACTTGGTACCTCCCAGCACCATGTGTGTGTGTGTGTGTGTGTGCACGCACACGCGTGTGCAGCTATTGGAGCTTGACCTGAGGGCCTGTGTGCTATCCTTCAGCTTTATGCTCAAGGCTGGCACTCTCCTCCACACTCTCCACCACTTGAATCACACCTCTGCGTGTGGCTTTTTGGTGGTTAATTGGAAGCAAGAGTCTCATGGACTTTCCTGCCCAGACTGGCTTCAAACTTCTGCCCTCAGATCTCAGCCTCCTGAGTAGCTAGGATTACAGGTGTGAGCCACCATGCCAGGATTTTAAAATTCATTGTTTAAAATCCACTTGGTGCTGGAGTGCTCCAAGGCGGGAAAGCGGGTCGGGGCTCTATGGTACAGGGGGTCTCAGGTTATGGAACTTTCCACAAGCTGAACACGCTTTCTCCACTGCAGCCTCACAGGGAAGCAGAAATTCACGAGACAGGGTCCTCTGCACAGGAAAGCGGGTGGCGGGCCAGGGTGCAAGGCTCCCAGAACTTGCTCTCATCACGCTGAGGGCCTCACCGGCCACGTGCAGCCTGATCTCCACTTCCAGAACCTTTCCCAGCTTCAAGGACTCCCTGAACACCAGGCAGCGGAACGTCTGGGCGTCGTCGGGGGTGACGTCCTGCAGCAGCAGGGAGAAGTCACCCTGCTTCATGCTGTCCCCGGAAACGTGGGCCCGGCTGCGGTAGCGGCTGTCCACGTGGTCCACGGAGCTGTTCCCGGAGAGGAAGTAAGCCACCACGGTGTTGGAGCCACTGATTTGCCAGTAGACAAACAGATCGTTTAAGTCAAAGCTGCTTCCCCCGGGGTAGACGCAGCCGAGCCTCACGTCGCTCCCCACCATCGCCTGGACGTCTCTCTCCGGAGCAACTGCAATGGGAAGGAAGCCACTCAGGTTCCCAGGCAGCCCGGCCTGCGACGCCATCAGCTTCTGCTGTGACAGGACTCTAGCTCCAATCCCGACCCATTCAACAGAAAAGGGGAAGACAGCCCCGAAGTGGTAAGATACGCTGGGAGGGGGCGGGGCGGGGACATCCCTTAGTTAGTGGCAGGCCACGGGTCACGGCCTGGGGCCTCGCCCTCTGTGGCCAACAGAGGCTCCCGCGTCCAAGGCCTTGCCCTCTGTGGACACACAGGAGTGCAGACGGCCACGCCGGGAGGGGGCACGGGCATGGCACAAGACAGATTTTATTTGTCTTTGTTGTTGTTGTTAAATGTTAGCTTTCAGTTTCTTTGTTGTTTTTGTCGGTGATGGGGCTTGAACTCAGGGTTCAGGCGCTGTCCCTGAGCTCTTCTGCGCAAAGCTAGCACCCGAACCACTTTGAACCACAGCGCCACTTCTGCTTTTCTGGAGGTCAATTGCAGATGAGTCTCACGGGGACTTCCCAGCCCCAGCTCGCTTCAAACCGCGATCCTCAGATCTCAGCCTCGCAAGCAGCTAGGATTACAGGGGTGAGCCACTGGCACCCGGCCAATAGGAACATTTTTATAGCCATTTAATGCCGCCCCCTCTGGGCCAGGCCTCTGGCTCTGCTGTGATGCTCCTGACTCTTCCCCAAACCAGTGTCTTTCAGAGCTCAGTGGCCCTGGCTGGGGCCAGAAGACCCCACGCCTGGATTTAACCAACCCAGCACACGGGCCAGAAGCAGGCCCCAGGAAAGCGCGAAGGCCTGCGGCAAGGCCCCTGAAGGGCTGCGTCTGCGGCTCTCCGGGAGCAGCCACGAAGCGGTTTGGAAGTTCAGCTCAGAGCTAGGTACGCCTCCCCCTGCGTAAAGCACCCCAAACTCACCAGCTTGTAGGCCACTGAGCAGCAGTAAGAACAGACCGGGACTAGAAAACAAACAGACAGTGGCAGGTGAGGGGCACAGGTGAGTCCTCTGCCTCTTGGTGCTCCCGGGCGGTGCTCCTGGCAGGCAGCGCAGCCATGGTGGGCTGGCTTTCCTGGCTGGCGATGCAGCCATCGCTGGCTGGCTTTCCTGGCTGGCCCCTTCTCCGCAGAGAATGGGGGGAGGGGCGTTGAGCTGGGACCATTCCTTCCTGCCCCCCACAGCAAGTCCCCAGAACCCCAGGAAAACAATGAGGAGAGGGTGATGAGAAAGGGCTGGGTAAGCCACCGGCCCTGGCCCTGGGCTCTGACTCCAAGCCTGGCCTTGCTGAGGCGGAGCTGGGGCGGGAGGGAGATGCCTCCAGCTGCCCTGAAAAGCCGGGAGCCAGGGAGATCTTGGCCAGCACCCAGCAGGTTCCGGAAGGGGAGGAACAGAGCCTCTGGAAGTTGTTTCAGACACCCCAGAGCTGGGGCTCTGTCATTCTTTGTCCAAAGTCTCTGCACCCCGTGCCCCTCGGCCTGGCCTCTTCCCTTCCAGGCCACCCCGGTGTCCCCCTCCCTAGACCCCTCAGTACTCCCCCTAGACCCCCAAACCCAGAGGTGGAAGTCTCCAGAAAGGGTCGAGGGCCTCTACTCAGTCCCTCACCTCGCAGCCGCTGCCTGGAGCCCCAGCTGCACCTGTGTCCGGGATCTCCCCCCACCCCTCCCGGGGAGCCCCAAACCCCATGCAGCTGGGACGGCCAGCACTGGCCCAGGGCCCGCGGGCCGGGGGACCCGGCAGGCCGTCCTGCCCCTCCTGGGGACTGCGGGAGACACCTGGGGGTTCGCCAAGGGGGCCGCAGAGGGGACCTGGGTTCCGGCAAAGCTGTCCTCCCGACACGGTCCTCCAGGCAGCCCATGGAGGGGGGAACCTGGTCACCCAGCCGGCTTGAGGGGCACACGAGGCCAGGAGCCAAGGAAATTGGCCCGGCGGAGGGAGGGGGCTGCGGCGGAGAGCCGGGGCCCAGCCCTTCCAGGCCAGGCGCGGCCCCCCCCGAGCCCCCCCAGCCCCCTACACCAAGGGAGCCCCTGCTCTAGGCGCCCCCCCCGCCCCCTCCACCACGCGC